ACTAAGGCGACGATTATATGTTCTGTAAAGTTGACAATTTAAGTTTCTTTGTAAAAGATATGTTGAAATCAGTTGTTTTGAATAACATTTTTATAGAATGTGACATCAATATACACGTAATTGTGGCTATTACGTAACAGTTATTCAAATTAAAATATCAATATACTTTTGATCCGAACCTAAATGATCCTGTTTTGAACATGATTTCCTGTTCTGACAACTTGATTTTTGAAACCAGCATATTTTAGAAGCTTTACTTACCAATTTTCATACTTTCTGACAAAAGATAGTATGTCATGTCATTTTTATTATATATTTGCTGTATCTATGGCGATTTGTTTTTCAGCTCCTTATCTCCTGCAAAAATGTCAATAAGTAACCATTATGTATTCCAGCGTATTATCAATTTTTCATACTTTGTTTCATATTCAATGTAGATGACTGGTACAGTTATTTGTGACGTTCTTTGTGCCGTGTCGTAAAAATATTAACTGTAATTAACCAGCATGTCTATTATTTTGTCTGTCGTTATCTTGGTTTATAGTCAAATAAACTGGATATGTGCTGACACCATTTTCACTAGAACGAATTGATCAAGTGTTTTCATACTGAACATCTGTTCAATCGTTTAGTAAATCATGGGCCTTGCACGTCTCGTGATCTTGCTGCTGCTAACTTATCCTTGCTCCTCTTTCAATGTACAGTCCGCCCTGCAAGCAGAGGCCATTTACGGCATCGACACGTTTCTCGAGCCACCGGTTTCAAATATGCATCAAGAAACGATCTCTACTAGCCTTATTGAGTGCGTAATCAGTTGTAGTTCCATCATAAACTGCTCTGCGGTAAATTATGGAAAGGAAAGTGGAGACTGTTTCTATATCATTAGTGGGTACGATGAAAACATAGCAGAGGTGAAATACCGAGCACACTACACCTTCTATATGCTGAAGTACTTTGTTCCGGTGTGTATGGCTATTTTATGGTTAATAATGGGGGTTAGAAAAAATGCTGGCAACCCAGCTAAATTAAAGATGCATTATGAGTTTCTGACGGCATTTATGAAGACTTACTTCTTATTTTTAAAGTCTACCTGTAACACCTCTCATACAAGGTGCCACATCGACAAAAGAAAATTAGCAACAAAACTTTAGGACGGTATAAAAGACGATATAGATTAGTTAACAGTAGCTGTTAAGACAGGAATATAGTATACTAAATACAGTAGCTAACATTGAAATTCTAGTAAGAAATAGATATAAGATACAGTTTCCAGGTAAATAACATTACAATGCTGTTAAGGACCATAGCTATAATACATTATGAAAGTAGTTATTGAGAAACACGTTTTTATTTCGTCTCCGTGACTACTATTTTAGCTTCCCCAGGTTTTTATTTGCCTCAGTGACTACTATTTTAGCTTCCCCAGGTTTTTATTTGCCTCAATGGCTAATATTTTAATTTCACCAGGTTTTATTTGCCTCAATGGCTAATATTTTAATTTCACCAGGTTTTATTTGCCTTAATGACTAATATTTTAGCTTCACCAGGGTTTTATTTGCCTCAGTGGCTAATATTTTAGTTTCACCAGGTTTTATTTGCCTTAATGACTAATATTTTAGCTTCACCAGGTTTTTATTTGCCTCAATGACTAATATTTTAGCTTCACCAGGTTTTTATTTGCCTCATTA